TATGGCAAATACCACATTTCTGCATTTCATAGCACCCAGTACCACATTGGTGCATGCTGGCACATGCAGGCAGTCATGACACAATCTATCAGCAATAACAAATAAATGGCACAGAGCTCAGCTCCTCCTCTTCTCCAAAAGGGAAGGAGAAGCTGTTTCTCACTGCTTTTTTTAATTGCTGTGTCTGGACTGTATCTGCTATGGATTAGGGTAGAAAAGCATTAGGGTTGTCTGAGCAAATGCACAGCTGCCTCTATTGAGGTGAAGAGACAATGGACAAAAATAGTTTTTYTAAATGTTAATCACAGAGAAAACCTCAGAGTGGGAAACAGAGGACAGTTTCTATTTTATCTGTGTCTGCTTTCATTTTTTTTACCTCCAGATAAAAAGCCAGCAGCAATTTCCTCAGTTAAAYAAGAATTATTAAAAATTTATCTAGGAAACACTTTTACAGATGGAGCACCTTTGGTAGTTTTGGAGTCAGCAATCTTGCAATCCTCTAGCTGGGAACTGCTGTTCTACCCCTGTTCTCTGTATGGAGACATGGGAAAGGCTGTTTCTTGTGCAAGCTGTTTTTCCATGCCAAAGAAAAGAGAGGCATCAGGAATGATATAAAACTGCACTGTGAAAKGAGCTTCAGCAGAGGACTGAGAAACAAAGTGACCAAGGGCACTCAAGAAGGAAATACAGAAATCAAACAGCACTAAGCTGGTGCACTAATAAGAAAATAATAGTTACGAATGCTATACTGGTTGTATCTTCCCCTCAATATTTAGCAAGTTTTTAACAAATAGCCAAATATTTTGTGGATTTTAACTAATTTACTTAATACTAAGAAAATTTTATCCCTAGAGCAGGGTACCTGATCCATGTAAAGAAAACATACACTMTAATGAAAGTAAAAAGTAAAATAAAAGACATTTTTACAAAAGCTCCGGATGTTTAAATCTCCTTAAAATAAAAGTAAAGCAAAGAGGCCACTCGTATTTAAAGCCATTTTGTTTTTATCTATTGGGGTAGTCACTTTACATCATACCAAAAAGACTGTATAAGGAATACAAGTGTCAAGAATCAGATCTTTATGGCACAACAGGAATTTTTCCATTSACCTGTTTTCAGAGTTGTTAAATACATTATTGAAGACAAAGACACTAAGGCTACCACAAAATAGTATTTGCATGATGATGTTAGTCTTTATTCAGTTTCTCATCTGACTCCTCCAGTCTGAAGGTGGACAAGARTATTTCCAGTAGTTTCATTGATTTATTCTGGATGAAAAAAGATTCTTTCTACTTTTGACACAAATTTATTTTCTTATTTATATTGTTACTCAAAGTTCACATAAGCTTTTAYGTTGCACCTTACAATGTATGGAATTTCAGATTAAAATAAAACTCTACTCTTAACATAACCTTTTATATAATGTAAAAATATTCTACATGTTTAACATATCAAGAATGTTAAGCATTTATTTTGGGGAAAACCTATTTTTTTATGCATTTTTCAGTACAAACTCAACTTGGCAGGTTTTGCATTCGTGTCTCCCTGTTCAGCCACTGCACCAAACGTGGTTTCCAAAAAGTGAAAATTTGAGATGCTGTTYGCTTTTCCATCTTTACTCCTCTCCCACCCCTCCCTCCACTGTGGAAAATTTACATCTTTGAAACAATGAGTGTTTTTTAATTATCAAAATCAGTATAAAAATAGCAGCATGCTACTAGACATGAAAAGCAGATTCATCATGCATTGTGAGTTTAAATGCAGATTTCTGCCTTCCTCTTATATTATCAAAATTTTTTTCAAAGTTAACATCAAGGCAAGGGGTATAAGGACAGACACTGCATAGTATGATTTGATACTAATCTGAACTGGGTTATTCACCTTTAATCAAAATCCATGATAATTACAGGGTAAACAATTTTTATTTCAAAATACAAGTTTAACTGGAATTGTAGTGATGAAAGCAGAAGAGGGAAAAATGCAGTCTTTTACAGCCCATRTCACTGTATCTCACTTACATCCAGAGATAAAAGCTCAAATTGGTGAAGAGACAAAGTATTTGTGGCATGTCACTGAACCTTTGTGATAATCCAGCATCATCCATTTCTAAAGAAATATAAATACTTTAAAACAAACATTGAAAATAAATCCTTTTGATGTAACAAACTACACTCTTTACCGAGAATTTTCAGTCTTCTTAAAAGTAAGGGACTTCACCCAAAAAATAATTGAAGTATCAATGTAGAACAATCCTTGGAGGAAAAAAGTCGGAATGTAAACCTCTGCTCCAAATTAGATCTGAAAAGCAAAAACACCACAGCATGTATTTCATGAGACAACTTTTTTTTAAGTTACTTTTACAGTTCAACAGGAAACTTCCTGAACTTGGCACACTCCTGGTTTTTTTTGCCTAAGCTCAGACCCTGTTTTCTTAACACATGAACAATTACTCTCTGTTTGTGTCCCCACCAGCCCTGTGACAATACCATGGTCACACAGGTGAGCAATTCTGCATGTCCACAATATCTGCAATGCAATTATACATCAAYAGCACAGACAGAAATTAGCCCATGATTCTCAAAAACGAAAATAAAACCAAGTTTGAGACTGATTTTTTTTTTAAGTGGGGATTTTCTCATCGTTCTTCTGATACAAAAAACAAAGGAAGGGCTACAAGTTCTTCCATTTGAACAATGACCTTGGAAGCTGCACTGCATTCCAGGTATGAGGGTGATCTGCAGAGAGGTTACTCACATTTTTTCTTTATGTCTTTTAAGTTCTCAAAGCATGATATTAATTTTTTATTGAAGAGCTGACAAAAGCTTAAAAACAATCACAGCTGCTCACTTAACCTCACACACAGATCCATYAGTTTGCAAATTTGTCCTACAGCTACTTATCTCTTTGATGTCTTACAACAGCCTCATTATTAAAAGCTTGAAGTACCATACATTTTTCTAGCTTCAATTAACTAAATTTTCAGTAAGCTCAACCACTGACAGGCCCAAAGTGCAATTTTCAAAAGTCTGAAGCAAAATTCCTCAACATTTAAAAATTTTTTAAATATTTGATCTACTGAATCATATAGTGAGAACCTAAAAGAAGTCAGAATAATGTAAGCATTTAAAAATAATTAGTCATATTAYCAACTCAGAGAGAGAGAGGACTAAAAAGATGAAGAATTAAAACATAAGAGTGTACTTAGAACAGTCTATCCAATTAAGTTAACACACTGGCTCAGTAAGTTCCTACTTATCCTCTCAGCCAGCTGACCCTGCACACATTCATTCATCTCTCAGCTGTAAATTAAAGTGCAGCAACTCAGAAAGCATTGCACAGCAGATTCTACTGCTATTTATTATAAAATTTGAGYTGTAACAATTTTACTACCATAACCTTCAGTCACCAGTTTAGCATTAAGCAATAACACAAGTGGTTGTGACAGTCTGTACACTCAAGATAATGGTTAACTTTACAAAAAGCTACTAAGGTGCAGCTTTTTTGTAAATTTTATATAAACAAAATGGAGACTTAAAGGCTTTGTTTTTTAAAAACCAAAGCCCTCAATTATTTCTGCAGTGAAATGGACAGTGAGGCTGTTAAACCTACAGAGGAACTGGGGGGTCAAATGACTGATTTTCTTTCAGGCACCTTCAGACTGTTCTCCATGTTTTAGCAGCATGACACCAAGTGTACTCCTTGTTTAGAGGTCAGCTCAGCATAAAATATGCATAAAAATAGACATTCACTACTTACATCATCAATGTCTTCATCATCRTCTCCAATATCATCAAACTGGATTTCATCATCATCTCCAGGACCAAATGTATCTGTTTCATTGATTTTAGCTATGAAGGAATTTAGAGAAGTTAAGGAGTGCACCTACACCATCTCAAGATAGACTGAATATTCTTGTCTGACAGAACTTCAGTTTGAAATGAAAAGATCCTTACCATGTTCTGGAAGTTCCCCATATGCTTTCAGGCTTCTGGCTTCATCTGCATTGTATTTTAGAATAACATCAGCCTTGTTATCCTAAATGAAAATTTATTAGAATGTATTAGTCATCAATGAAGGAAAAATAAAACTTATTAACCTCAGCACACTGTATTATTTACAACATCTATATTATTTACAGAGAATTCATATCTACAGTATTTATAGAAGAACATCTTGTTCTTTCTTCCCCTCCAGTTCCTTTAAATGTGAAGTAAGCACATTGCAATATTCTCATTTCTTCTGCGTGATAACTTAATTTTCTCTAATTATTATTGGAGTTATTTAGAGAATCARGTCSTTTATACAATCACAGAATGGTTTGGATTTAAGTATCATCTATTTYCAACCCCCCTGCCATGGTCAGGGACAATTCCAGCAGCCCAGGCAGCTCAATTCAATCTGYCCTTGAACACTGCCARGGATGGGGCATYCACATCTTCTCTGGGGAAYATGACAATGAATATTTGAGAATATCAAGAAATTCWGAGAATTCAACAACTTGAGAAGTTCAGTTTCATGCCTTTGACATTAACCTTTCTTCAGAGAATACACAGAGTGAGGTGTTTGGTGATCCATAAGAAAGTCTCGAAAATGAAAAATTCCCAGTTTTAATGACTTCAATATATAAACAGTAAGTGACAGTATCTTAAAAGTTTTACAACTCTAATGGACATTTCAGAAGCAGAATCTATCTYCAACAACTGATGACACAACACTATTATTCATGAAAGGCATTCACCCAATTAAAACTTGACAACAGTTTTCCATTACTGTTCATATTATGCAAAGTGCTACTCTGTTTTTGGAAATTTAARTACAAACCAATTATTGATTAGTTTGTTTCTTAAGGCAAAAACCTTTAGATAAACATCAAGGATCCAAAATTCTGATTACCAACAGTTTTAATTATCACAATAAAATGTTTGGTCCTTGACTCAATCTCCCTTTACACCACCAAGCACCAAACAGCTACATCTGGAAAAAAAAAAGGTCAAGCTTGATGCCAATGAGCACCTTCACTCCCAAAGTCTCAGGGTGCAATTTAGAAGAACGAGTTGAACCAGAAATTGTCTACTCATTATGATCTTCCTGTAATACAAGGAAACTAAAAATCATGATTTAGCATAACTAAACAAAATGCAGAGTTAGACAGAAATTCCCTCACAGTATCTGCTGCACTTWCACAGTAAATAAAGCTACTTGTAAGATACTCCTTATAGTGGSAAATTATACTGAAATTTTACCTGGTAGTCTCTTAAGCCAATCAATATAATATCAGATGTATTTATCCAGACCTGAAGGAGAAAACATATATTAGAGAAATTCAACTTCTGTCACACAACACAAGAACCAAACAGCATGTTTAGATTTATGGACAGACAGGAATTATTTCCCTACAGCCACCACCTTAATTTTCTAACTAGTAAGCTGGAAATACCCAATTTAATGCTTTACCAGCAAACCTGAAGTCATAAATACTCATAGTTACATTAGTTTTACATGTTGTGGAGCTATTACAGGAAAAATCAAACTTCTTTGAAGAGCTTCTAGCCAACAGGGTGGTTATTAAGCCTTAACTTTTGAGAAAAAAGAAATAATGCATCAAGACATCACTTTTGAACTCTCTGGACTGAATTCAAGGGCAAAAACTGAAGAAAAACTTGATGAAAACTTGATCACATACACGTGATATCCCTAAAAGTACAAATTTTTGCAGATCAGCTTTCAAAAGATATATTTTGGGAACTGAAGAAATGGACAATGAAACGATGGCAATGGGGGTGTATTTTCTAATTCCCTGTCTGCAATTAGGGAGATTTTTATTACTTTCTATACATACTTTTATTACTTTCTATACATATAAATTTCTAGAATATTTAGAAAGTTGGTATTTCATAGGCAGCCAAAAAAACCTTCCCCTGAATTATACCCATTGAAATGCAGATCCTCTACTGTGAGCTTCACCCAAAAGCCAAAGAGTGCCTATTCTTGTGCCAGCAATGGAAACAAAAAGACAGTCCAGCTTATTATACAAGAAAGAAATTTATGATATAAAGTGTAGTAAAAACATTGATTTTTGTAAGAAGCTACGTACAAATTTTTACAATTACATATAATACACAATGCCACTGTTTTCTATTGCAATGCTTCAGAATTACCTTTTTTCTTAGCTTCCCTCTAATATGACATAACCTCTTCACACCATCAAAACATAATGCCTCCAGTCTTCCATTGCCTAACATCTTGATCACCTGGGCATATTCTGAAAGAGATGGTAACAYACAGAAACACAAAATCATTGAGGCTGSAAAAGATCTTGAGGATCAACCAGTCCAACCATTAACCCAGCAMTGCTAAATCCACCATTAAATCATGGCACAAAATGCCACAGAGGAAACTTCTGAACAAATACAGCTCAAAGACACAAACACTAACTTTTCCACTGCAACCCAAATTTGCTGTAACATTTTATCCAACACGAACTGCTGAGAGAAGCTTTGAGCACCTACACAGGCTTCTGAATGTATCACAGTTTTGTATCACTGTTGATGTTAACATTTTCAAGTACTGCTCCTTCTTGGTTGCATCCACCCTTTTGTTCCCTCTGAAATGCTTACTACAGAGAATTTTCAGAGCTACWGAGTYACACATAGAGTTTGAAAGTTTATGRCAGCATCACAGYACCTGTYCTAAAKGACAAYARGARGAGAAAGCTGCATGTCCTGTAAAACCCACTGAGAATTTGAATCCCTCCTGCAAAGCTGAGTGGAGAACACCCCACGGTCCTTGAAAGGACCTGACCTGTTGTTACCATTGTCTGAAAGGAATCACCACTCTTTCAGCTGAAATCTATGAAGTGCCTCTCCCACACCTACCCTCAATCTCTTCACTTTGTATTTCAGCTTCTCCCTCGCCAAGTTCAGAAATCAYTACTGGAGAACTTCACACACATTATTAAAGTTTGCAGCATAATGTACTACCGTTTAATTAAAAAGAATAAAACTTGTAATAATTAAAATAGTCTTACTACAAATTTTGTCAGAATTTCAACAATAAGTGACCACCAAGAAAAAAAAGTCTCAATTAGCCAGACATGTATTTTAACAGTCTAGAATCTTAGCACAAGTTAGATATTCCAGTGAACCACATGAGACTGTTCATAACTGAGAATAATGTTTCATTAAGTAGATTTTGCTTGGAAGATGAAGAGGATTTTAACCTTCAGACGTGCATAAAAATCTTATCTGCTAACAACCAACACAGAATACCAGAACTCCGTTCAGTGGCTCTTCTTTTACACTGATTCAAGTCAGGACCTTTCCCATATTTCTAACAAACCAACTGATTAATGGGTCACTAATAAAGCACTCCCATTATGTGAGCAGAGTGTGACACACAAGACAGGAGAGCTGGAAGGGAGGTGAGCTCACTGTCACCAAGGCAGGGCAGATGGGAATCCCAGTCATTGTCCCCTGGCTGAAAACTCTTGTGCCTTATTTCACCTGACAATGTCCCACCTACTGCTCCTGTTCTAATAATTATTGGATTTCCAGTCTAGGAACCAATTGAACCAAACCATCAGTGGGATAACCTGCTCTGACAGGTCAGTGACTTTGGGGAGCTCAGCAAAGATCCAAAAGGTATTAAAAGTCCATAAAAAACAGAAAGTGGGACTGTGCACACCAGAGACATTTACTGGCAAGATTGAACCACATTCACTAAGCCAGCTGCTCACAGACCCTCAGACAAAGCTATCAAGAGAATGTTTTTGTTCTGTTTTACACAGTAAGGTCAAGGAGAGGGAAACGTGATTCTTAAGCATAGCAATACTTMATAGCAAATAAAGCAAAGCTATTGAAAATTTCACATTTCCTACTGTTTCACTCCTACACTCAATATGTCATTTATAATTTAAATACAACCCCAATGAGAATGCCTCTSTGCTTTCTGTCACTTCCAGTAGACGACAGAAAACAATGACATTGCCATACTATGGTTAAAAACTCACCTTGCCCATCTTCTTTGAACACCAGTTCTCTTTTTTCTGATTCATTCTCATTCTTACCTCGTCGCCTATTTTTACCTCCTTTGCCTAAATKAAAAGGTGAAGGAAAAAGCATGTGTTACTGTTGCTAATATTTCACAAGCAAGTGAAAAAAATCTAACGAAGATTTTTAGGCTTGTTCTCTAAACAGCTGTTTTAAGTACGCTACCTAGATCTAGATATTTTTACTTTAAGTCTAAATATTTAGCTGAGTAGTGACAAAGAAATTAAACATTAKTCTCCACGGTTTAAAATGTCCTGGTTGCGTTGGAGTGACAGCAGCCTTCAACAAGGATTTTCACAATATGGCCATTTTCAGATTCAGTTCTCTGCTACCAAATAAACAATGGTGGGTAACCTGACGCACGTMATCAGAGGAGTAACTTCAGTCACTGTGGTGCTGAAATCCCTGAAATACTCAAGGGGAAGCTCATGCTCCARTGAAGCTGCCCTTTCTAAAAGGCACACACACGTGGCAACAGGATTAAATGCTCTTCACGAAGARCAGCTCGTATCTGCCCCGCTGTAAGAATCTGCCGCTCCCTTCCCCTGGCGGTGTCTCCGGTTCTTTTCCGGGTGAGGAAGAAGGGAAGCAGCGCCTCAAAACACGGCAGGGCCCGGCCGCCTCCTCGCAGGGCCGCTCCTGACARGCGAGCCCCGGGCAGGGCCTGCCGCTCCCAGCGGGGTCCCAGCGGCTCCGGCAGCGGGGAACGGGCCCGGGCAGGGGGAACCGAGCCGGGGAAGCGCCGGGGAGGCGGGAGGGCCCCTCCGCCCGGGGCTGCGGGGAGCTCCACGTGAGGGACCCCGGGCCTGCCCTGCGCCACCACGCCCGGGCCCGGCCTGGCCGCCCAGGCCAAGGGAAGGGATCTCACCTTTATTCTTGGGCATGGCGCCGGGCGCTCCGCCGCGGAGGGGCTGCGGGAGGGG